AGGGAGAGATCTCCCAGAGCTTGCAGAGTCCAGGCAGGAAATAAGAGAGTGAAGTGACTCGAGAGACCATGGATGCAGAAGAGAGACAAAGCTGATCCAACGTAGGGATAACAGCGTCTCTGAAGTAAAGAACCAACACAGAGAACAGAAGTCTTCAAACATATAATGTAGAAAGTGAGTAAAGAGTGGATCTGTAGTTCAGAGGGACACACGGTGTTCTAAGAAAGATTGTTGCAGAGAAGTCAACACCAGCCCCATCAAAGTTAAGTTAATGAACTTCACAGATAAAGAAAGATTCCTTTAGGGCTTTAGGTAGAAAAAGCCAATCACTGAAGCAGAAACTCCAGACTAGGTCTAGGCTTCTTTATAGCAACAATCTGTTTTCCAAGCACCAAAAGACAAATGGGGATCATCCCCAGGTAGAAGGGTTAAGAGCAACCTTGTTTCCTTTTTAAGCTTTTTTATATTGCATGCTTCCTTTACTTGTTTAAAATGGGCAAATATTACTTATGATAATCAGAAAAAAAAACTATTTTCACTTTGAAAAGGAAAACAAAAATAAAGGACCTAGACAGAAACTGATTCTGTTCCCATATCAAAACTCATTCTTCCTCATTTTACCCTGGATTTAAAGAAACAGACCAGGAAAGACTCTTAGGAAATCAGGCCACAAATGCCCAGAGGCAAAAGAGAAACAAGTGAATTCCAGGACTTGGAAGAGCATTCAAATAAAAGCATGAAGACTGCTAAGTTCCTTTTGCATACTTTTAAGACTGTTAGTGTCTTGGACTTGCTTGCGTCACGATGGGTAATTAAGACTCATACTTGGGAGTCACCCAGCCTTGAGTTTGGGTCCCACTAGTGATGTGATTTAAGAAGTTACTTTGCTTTCTTAAGCACAGGTTCCTTTGTATGCTAAGTGGGAAAAATAATAGTAGAAACTACCACATAGTAGTGATAATTGAATGAAATAGTATGTCAAGTGCTTTTCATAATGTCTGCCACATGTTTACCACCACCATCATGCAGCAGCTGCAAAGGCACCATCATCTCTATTATAATCATCACTACCATAATCTTCATTTCTAGATCATCATTGTTATTATTATCACCATCCTTACTAGCATCATTATCAACCCCACCACCAGCATCACCACCACCATCATCATCACCATCATTACCACCACCACCATCATCATCACCATCATTACCACCACCACCATCACCACCACCATCATCATCACCACCAGCATCACCAGCATCATTATCACCACCACCACCAGCATCATCACCATCATCACTCCTTGCTAAGAGACCTTGGGCATGCAACTCCCCTTCTCTGAGCTCCAGCTAACTCATACAATGGGGGAAAATAACGCAGAGGAGTTTTAAATTGTAATTATAGTAGCTAACAGTTAGTTTTTGAGTATCTTTCAGGTGGCAGATTTAGACTAAGTGCTTACACACAGTAGTTCATTTATCCTCACAAACATCCCCAGTACTAAGTCCCTATCATCATACTTCACATGTGAGAGACCTGGATTCCAGAGGAATCTGGTAGGGTCCGGACTTTAACTTGTTCTTACTGACACTGGCGCCCTAGCCCCAGCCCCAGCCCACTGTGCCTCACCACCTTCTCTGGTTGTGAGGTTCAAAGGAGATCATGGAAATGAAAGCCCATGATTCCAGTGGGCCATGCAGGATCCTCATGGTTGCTTGTATTTGTCCTGCGGGGGTGGCCTGAAGACCTGACAAAGGAAAGAAAGAAGAGACCTGATGTATATGTCCTTTGGACTCCAGGGTGTCTTAATCATTCCTTCACTGATCCTGAAAATCTTTACAGAGCACTTTGCATGTGTATCCTAAGAGGAGGGTCCATAACCAATAAACAAGCCATGGCCCCAGCCCTGAAGCAACAAAGAAAGTGCAGAGGGGTGGGTTTGTCAATGTTCTGCTCCATCTCAGGCTGATGCACCATCATCAGGATGTGTTAACTGAGTTATCCACAGGTGCTCCCAAAACACACCTAGGGAAGTCAGGGAAGGTGAAACACCAGCTCTCAAGCCTGTTCAGGCTTCAGAAGAGCTGTGAACTGCCCCCTGGGATATGCTGCAAGGCTCACAGCAGCGTTCGCTACAGGACCAGCTGGGTGTGTGACACAAACTCTTTCGGACAATGCAACATCATGTGCCCTACAGACCCAAGGCTGGTTTCAGCACATTTCAATATGCAACCGTTGATCTTGTACATTTTGATAGATACCTTTAAGGTAAAGAGAGTCCACTTTTTTGAAGTAAACAGCATATCAAATCTTTTCAAAATCAAACTTAGGGCATTTAATTCAAGTAAATAAACATTATTCGCATGTCTACTGTGTCAGAGATGCCAGGCAAATGGAGATGCTGCCTGCCCCGGAGGGCTCACAGTCTAGTAGGGGAGTCAGGGAATGGTGCTTGCATTCTGGGTCACTGTTGATGTGTGAAGTCCCAGGCTTGCTGGCAGCATGCTGGAGTGGTAATTGTGAAAGCTCTGGAGAGACACAGGCTTGAGTTGGTCCTGGCTCTGTGACCTTGGGTTGCCTGGTTGAACTTGATGAGTGTTGTAGTTGTGTGCAGTGCTCACACTGAAAGCTCCATGGGATGGAGAATCCCAGAATTCAGCTCCTCCCTTCCATCCACCCCCACTGCCACCATCCAAACCTTCTAGGCAACATTGCCTCCTTCCTGTGGTACAGGAGAATGAGGTGTGGGAGGATGGTCAGTCGTGTCCCAGGTCTTTGGCGAGTCCCTGGGATGCACCCCTCCAAGTGAGGGTCCTTGGCTTCTTGCAGGGAAGAATTCAAGAGTGAGCCGTAGTTGAGTGAAAGTAGATTTATGCAGAGAAATGCACACTCCATAGACTGAGTATAGACCATCACATAAGGCCAGAGAGGCCACAAGGTATGTGTGGGGGGAGGGTTCAAAGTAAAAGTAGATTCACTCTCCATACAGAGCGCAGGCCATCTCCAAAGGCAAGAGAGCTACCGTGAGGGGCGGGGTTGCTAGTTTTGATGGGCTCGGTAACTTCATGTGCTAACAAGTGGGAGGATTATTCCACGTACTTTGGAGAAGGAGCTGGGATTCCCAGGAACTGGACCACTTCCCACTTTTTGACCTTTAATGGTCAGCCTTGCAACTGTCATGGCACCTGTGGGAGTGCTATTTAGTGTGCTAATATGTTACACATATTACTGAAGTGATCATATACTGAAGGTCAAGGTCTACTGGGAGTTGAATCTTCCGCCATCTTGGTGCTAATTGCTGTGTCATTCTTTTAATGGTTGTGCCCTGCCCCTTGCCCTCCTATCTCACCTGCACTGCCCAATAGCCTCCTGTACCCATCTTTTATCCCTCAGTCCTTTCTCCAGACAGCAGTGATCTCCACAAAGTGCAGATTAATCACATCTACTTAAAGACCCACATGAGTTCTCTTCAACGGCAAACCCCTCTCCTGCACCTACAGAGGCTGCTTAATAGGCCCTGCTCACCTTTGCCACCTCACCCCATTCCTCCCTACCCTCCCTCAGGTGTCCAGACAGGCTGGCCTCTGTTCTAGACCTTGACCCAACTCTTTTCATCTCTCTACCCTCCCATCCCTCCCCTGGCATGATCTTCGTCAGATCTTCACATGCTGCAACTCCTTTAAGCCACATCTCCACCATCATCTCCCTAGAGATCGCCCCCAATACTACTAAATAGACCCTCTCCCATTGCTCTGAATGTTTCCTCCAGGGCCTATCACACACTGTGATTATTCATTCCTTCACTCACATCCTTTAAACAAGGACAAATAAACAAGTCATCTTTTCTCCCCAACTAGATGAGGGAATGACATGAGAGCGGGGGCATTGCCACTGTCCTCCAGGACTGAGGGGCCAGCCCAGCACAGCCAGTAATCACTGAATCTTGATGGAATGAGTGACCCCAGACCAGTGGTTTCCAAACTGAGGTCGGCAAAGGTCCCTCAGGGTTTTCCCCTCTACCATCCATCCTGTCTTGTCCGTGGACCTCCAAGGTCTATGTCTGATGAGAGTGAGGACTTCTGTTGAGGAAGGGGAGGCTGCAAACCAGACCTTCAAGGTCATACTGAGCCCCAGGTACAGCGCGTGGGCACAGAGCCCAATCCTGAGTCTCACTGAGCAGGACAGTTGGGAAGGGAGGGGTGCAGACCTCAGGGAATCTCAGCCAGGTGCGGTGCCCAGAGGGCATTTGGAAATGGGTGGAAGCAGTTTGGGTTGCCATGACGAAGAGGGGCACTCCTGGCTTCAGGAGGCAAAGGTTGGAAAACATTCTGCAATTGCACAAGTTCAGTCTCTCAAAATAGAGAATTGTTCCGCCCCATGTCGATGATGTTTCTGCTAACACTCCGATGCTTGGGCACCTTAGGGACGGGGGCCCACCACCCATCCAGTCAAGGGGAGATCAGGCAGGAACTTCCCTCTACTTAACCAAGGATCAGCAGAAAAACCCTGAGATTTGGAGGTCGGAATCCCAAGCCTGAGCCCTGGCTCTGCTACTCAGGAGCTGGGTTACCTTGGCTAAGTCAAGTAACCTCTCTGAGCTTCAGTTTTCTCATCCAGGGAATATGGTAGCCAATACCTGCCTGACTCAGTTATTCCAAAGATAAATTATAAGCATTCCTAACACAATATATTCAGTAAATGCCAGTTGCCTTTTAAATCAAATTGCCACATATAGCACTCAGTTTATGGTGGAGCACAGCTTGATACAGAAGGCATTTGGAGAGCCAGGAGGCTCATCTCATTGGGATGGGCAGGTCAGAGGAAAAGTTTAGGTACTGTTAGGGGTCAAAGGCTGTAACTCCAGCACCCCCTTCCGAAGGCTCGGCTCTCCCAGGCAGAGCCAGCTCTTGCCAGGAGGGGCTCTTCCACTACGTGGAGATGGGTGCTGGCACCCTGACCACTGCAGGGTGACTAGTCCATGCCCTGGCTCTGGTTGCAGGTGGCATCCCCTTCATCCTACCGGTGAGCTTTTCCAGCAATCACAGTGGCCGGCTGCCTTCACCGCAGCAGGAACCACCAGCTGGCTCTCCAGCTTCGCTCTGGGGCTCCTCTTCCCGTTCGTTCAGGTATGACCGACAAGGGGTCTTTTGCTCATGAGATTCCCTCAGAGTGACGGATGATTCAGAAAGCAGAGGCTGGTCCTCTCTCTACGGGAGATTCATACTCTTGGTCTGAGGAAAGGGGAGATGTGCTTTGGTCCAAAGCCTTAATCCTCTCCCTCTCTCCCACACCTTCTGGAAGCTGCCCCTAAGTGCTCAGGGAGTAGGTCTCAGGAGCGGGCTTCCCTCTGCTGAGGGTCTGCAGGGAAACCTCAGTGATCATCTTAAACCAGCATTTTTGCAACGCGCTGGCCCCAGTGTGAGACAAGTCTGTGTCCTTGTTCCCGTGCACACGGCCACCCTGCCCTGCATGTAGCCTCCAGATTGTTATCCACATCCCCACAGCTTCTGTGGTCATTGTCCCAAGAGTGATCACAATCGACAGGGAATCGATAACTCAGGGAAAAGGTTCTTTTTGTGTTGGACTCTATTCATTCACTCACTCATTCATTCAGCACATATTTATTGAGCCCTTGCCTTGTACCTAGCACGGTTTCCTGCAATAGAGATGGAGGAGGGGACAAAAACTTGTGTTCAATGGTCCTGGAGTGAAAAAGGAGGCAGGCAACCAAGGTGGACGTGAGGAGGTCAGAGAAGGCTTCTTGAAGCTGGTGACATCAGAGCGGAGACCTGAGTGAAGGGAGAGAGCAGCCTGGGAATGGAGACATCCAGACAGAGAAACAGCAAGTGCAAAGGCCCTGAGGCAGGGCCATGCTTGACCTGTGTAAGGAACAGCAGAGTCCAGTGTCACTGGAACAGAAGGAGCAGGGAAGACCAGAGAGGCAGGAAATGAGATCAGAGAGTTCTCCAGGGCCAGGAATACAAAAGATGTTCTGCACAGAGCAAGGGACCCAGCTGCGTTCCAGGAGGGAGGGTCAGGTTTCCCTGCTGTAACGCCCACCAGGGCTCCCTGCTGCCCAGAGAGCAGGTGACACCACTGGTGAAGGTGAGAATCTATCAGATGCCTCTGAGAAAGAACCCACCACCCATTCTCGGGGCCTATTTCAACCCTCCCCTGCCTCTCCATTAATAGTCTGCCTGTTAATTAGCTGGCGCTAAGCCCAGCACATTCTGGAGTCTCTGCTGGAAGCTGGGCTGAGTCGAGGTCAGCACCTGGCTGCAGACCCACGTGTGGCTACTCCTGCATCCACAGCTAGAAAGCAATTACTCTGCGCCAGGCCCCCTGCACAAGGCTTTATGTGTTCATGTCACCCTCATGCAGCCCCCAGCTGGGGTTTCTCAGCCTTTCCATCTTGCAGAGAAGTGAGGCTCAGGGAGCAGACGTGATCAGCCCAAGAGCCTGAGTCACAGTCAAAGCCGGTGGCTCTGCCCCATCACGGCTTCCTCACCAACAGTCTCCATCAGCCTCCCCATCTCCTCAGTCTCAGAGCCAGGGGTTGAGGCACTCTGCAACTTTTAAAACATCCTGACTTAGCTACAGCCATTGCATGTCAGGGGAGGCCAGAAGCCAGGGAGTTAGAGACACCTCTGCACCCATTTACTCCATCCTCAGGGCCCCTTCGCCTGGCTGCGCTCAGAACATAACAAGTTGTCTTCTCAATTGACTTCAAACCTTAAATGGCTTTTTCCAGTTTGGTTCAAAGCCAGCAGAGCCAGGGGTTAGTAAAATATTCATTATTGTGGGGAAAATTCACTTCAAATCGCTTCTCTGTCAACACAGATCTCCCCAACACCCTTACAAATTAAGTGGAGAAATTCTAGAGCCTTCACACAGCCCACAACTAAGTTTTATACATCCTCGACGACGGCCGCTGTCTTCTGAGCGGTTTGGAGGAGGGGGCATGAAAGCTCTCACTGAACTCCCAGACCCAAAGCACCAGCTGGCTTTCCCGGTGCAGCCTGGGAGTTAACAGCACTGACATGCCACTAATGCTAGTGTTTACTGAGCGCTTGCCACGGGCCAGGGAGCGCCTCTTTTTCAGCCTCGACAGATCAGAGACTGGAGCTCAGAAAGATGCTCAGAAAAATGACAGAGCCTGACTTGAACCCTGCTTTCACCCTCACCTGTAAGACAGGGAGATGGACCCCTTGGTTATAAGCAGATGACCCCGTCCTAAAAGTCCATTTGAACTGGGGTTGAGTTGCTAATCATTAAACGCACACACACACCCCCTCAGAGAGGTCTCCGGCTAAAATCAGATCCATCTGACCTGGATTTCACGTTGTCCGTTTGGCAGATCCTAGCCCACCCGCAGCTTCTCCCAAACAGAAATGCAGGGCTGCGTTTACCTTGAGACATTTTCCGAGTCGGGTGAGTCTGGGGCCCAGTTTTATGCTCAGTTCCATAAAGTGCACACCAGCTCAGCGTACTGAGCTGGAGTGCAGGTCAGAGAAAGGGTAGGGGAGAAGCCAGCGACACAACGGGGCATTTCCTAGGTGTCAGGTTACACGTGCAGTCACTCCGCTTCATGGAAGGTCTTATCACCCCCACGTACCAGGCAGGATGGGCTGGGGTTTGCTGCAGGAAGAAACAGCCCCCAAGTCACGGTGGTGTCCGACCACCTGGGGTTATGTCACTCGTGCTAGATAATCACTGTGGGGCGGCTAGAGATTCTGTCCCAGAGCTTCCTGACTAGGATGCTGGCTGGCAGGACCCCTTCCTTCCATAACAGCTGCCCCCGGGGCAGGTGGGGGGGATGTGGTAGGTTCCGCACCTGCCCATTAAGACCCTGATGCACAAATTCCCGTGAGTGAAATTCACATGGCCACATCCTACCTGAGCGGAAAAGCAAGCTGCCTTCCAAGGGGAAGAGGCGGAAAGTTTGTGCCCTCCCCTGATGAGGACCCTAGCCCGCTTTTCAGAAGAAGGTTGGGTTCAGCAGGCCTGGGAGACCTGCCCGAGGCTCGGGAGCGGAAGCGCACAGTCACAGCCGTGGACTGGCGACTTGCTCTACCCACACGGCTTTTATGGGTTTCACACTCCTTTCAGGATAACCTGCTTTCTGACGGCCTTGGCAACATGCTGGGGGGCTCACCACATTCATTCCAACTGGCTCGCTTCCAGCCAGGCACTCACCTGGCTGGCGGCCCTGGGGAGCCTGAGAGGTTTCTGGGGCCACCGCTCATGCTGAGTTACCACTCATGCTGAGTCACCCTGCCATAAGGAGCTGGAGTGTCTGAGGACAGAGTGGGACCAGGACTCAGGACTCTGAGGGTTACAGTGTCTCTCCTGCAAGAGCCGCATGCTGAGGCTGTCACCACGTGTAAAAACACATCCATTTGCACTGTCAGGATGATCTCAGAGACACGTCAGTCCCAGGGATGCTGAGAGCCTGGCCTGAGCAGGGGACTGTGGCCCGGGAGGGCTCGGCCTGGGCTAGGAGCTCAGGGCCAGGAGGGGTGCCACCCCCCCACAGATCTGAGGTCCCACCAGGCGCAAATGACACATGTCTGCGTGCCCATCTTAGAACACCCAGAACAGCTGCTTCCTCTCAGACATGTCGGAGCACAGGTGTCACGGGAGGAAGCCACCAAGATGGACAATCAGAGCGACACTGATTGAGAATTACTGTGCACCTGCTTCTGGTCCAAGCATATTTAATTCATTTACAAATGTAATTAATTTACTCCCGCAACAGCCTGTGAGGTAGATGCCATAATGGCCCCATTTCACACATGGAGAACCTGATGCACAGAAAGGTTAAGTAATTTACCCAGGGTTTCCCAGCTAATGAGGGGTAGAAGTGGGATTGAAACCCATGCAGCTCCAGGCTGTGCCTTCCTGACCACTACACTATACAGTGTCCCCCCAGGAGTCACAAATCTTGACCAGTGTCTCCTACACGGAGGGTAAGAGGTGCCAATCCAGCCTTGCAAATGAGACAGCAAGGTGAACCCCAGAGGCATGGCCCTGGGAGTGTACGCCCTTCCTGGGGCCACTCCAACAAATCAGCACAAAATGGGTGGCTTAATAGAAATCTATTATCTTACAGCTCTGGGAGCCGGAAGGTCCAAAATCTGTCTCCCTGAGCTGAAGCCAAGGTGTTGGCAGGGCCACACCCCCGCCACAGGCTCCAGAGCAGAATCCAGTTTCTTGCCTTTCTCACCTTCTAGGCTGCTTTCTGGAGCGCCTCGGCTCCCGGCCCCTCCCCATCTTCAAAGCCAGCAGTGAAGCGTTTTGCTTCAACGATCACGTGGTCTCACCTTCCATGTCACAACCCCCTCAGCCTCCCTTTCATAAGGGCAGTTGTGATGGCAGTTAGGGTCGACCCAAATAACACAGGATAGAATTTCCATCTCAAGATCCGAACCTAATCACATGTGCAAAGTCTCTTTTTGCCGTGTAAGGCAGGCAACATTCACAGGATGTCGGGTCCTGGGGTTTGGGGCCATTCCACAGCCGACTACAGGAAGTACTGGTGGGTTTTGGAAGCCTGGCCTGGACACCTGGTCGGAGGCCGCCCAGGGGCCGGGCAGATGTGCTGCTGAGTCCCTGACTACTGCCCCTCTGGTTGAGCACAAGGTGGTACTGAGACCCCCTGGAGGAGTCATCAGGTGCCAGTTCTGGGGTGGGAGGGCTCCTGGTAGATTCCAAAAGGGCCTGGATGTGCCTGGTAGCAGGAGACAGACTGGACGCTCATACACTAACCACAAATAGTAATTGCATGCCTGGCCTTTGCATCAGGCATTTGCTATTTCATCAGTGATGTGGGGTTGACCCCACTAGACCTTGTATGCTCTGGTAGGGAGCTCACACTTGATCCTGTGGGCCAGAGGTTCTCAGCCCTGGAAGCACATGAGATCCAGAAGGGTGAGTGAAAGAAATAATTAATGCTTGGGACCTGCCACCACCATCACCAAGATTCAGAGCTACTTGGAGCAGCGGGAGAGGGGCAGGGTGGCACTGTTTTAAGCGCTCCCGATGGTTCTAATGCATAGCGGTGGTTGAGACCCTCCAGCGCAGACATTTAGGAAACAGTGATGGATACTACACCGTGGGACTAGTG